ATACATTTTGACTTTATTTGAAATATTTTTGAAGCCTAATTAAAGAGCCCCTCATAAACTATGCATGCTCGAAGTTACAATTAGAACGGAGCCGATTAAGACAGTTAAAGTCGCCCGTTCTTGTCAGATTCCTTTCACTCAGTTTTTGGCTTCCCCAGAAACGCATAGCAAAAATGAAACCCATTTTTAAGATCCTTGAATGGACCCTACAACAAGCAGCAAACCATTTTCAAAAAGCGCTCCACGACCTGAAAGAGCTCCCTGTGAGAGTCGCGCAACTGCCGAGGATCGCGCTAAACCGCTAATTGCTGAACAGCTACAATTGCTAACGTTCAGGTAGAACTCCGAGAGCTGCGACTGCGGTCGAACGACTAGCGCGAGCAGTCTCGCTCACTTTTTTCGCGGGTATGAACGCAATCTCATCTAGAACGCAGTATGTGTATGGAGCTTGACATATACAAAACAGCGGCCAGGAATCTCCACGGCCTACTGATCGGATTCAGTCTCGTTCAGATAATCAGAGAGATAAGTGACAAGCATGGCTACCATCGCCTGATAGTCCTCATTCTTCCAATTATCGCCTTCCAGGCATGGCTGCACAGGATTGCCAGGGTTATTGCTTCTGAGTTGTAGTCGAACGGCATCGAGACCAGCAGAACGAGCAAGGTTTTCTAACGCCACTCCTGGAGGCGGTGTGTTGGTAACTTTGAATCGACTCATGAAGTCTGTCCATCCTCCTTCTTTCTTAAACATTGTACTGATTGTTCGCAGGCCATTTTTCTCGATAGCCACAAGCATTCCGTCATCGGGGGTCATGTAAATCTTTCTGGTGAAGGTCTCGCTAGAACCGTCCTGAAAAGCAAAAAAAAAGATCATTCTCCTACATAGCGATTTTCGAATCGTTTTTGAGAAAATGGCACCGGCATGGATTCAGGTCAATTTCTGCAGTGAAAAAAAATTACCTGAAGGACGGATGTCACCACGCATACATCGGTCAACTTCCCATTTTTCAGAATATCTTGTGGCAAATGGTCCAAATAGAACTGAGGGGAGCAGAAAGTTTTTGAACTCCTCTCCATGCTTCCGATAATGATAGAGTGCCTTGAACTCATCTGCGAATTTGGGACCTTTTTTGCCTAGCATCCCTCGAAGGGTAGAAAGATCTTCCTGGATGCCAACATGGAAATTATTGACAGTCGCAGTGTCATTGAAATTGAAGTTTGCGTCTGCTGTAAATGAAAAGGTTTTCGTAGAATGAGCAATTAAACATAACTCGCAAAAAGCAAAACTGTTCGGTTGGACACCCCTGCGGTTTGCCTAGGAAGAAGCCGTCGCAACCGTCTAATAAAATAGTCTCCGTTGGCGGC